AAGGCATTGCAAACAAGGTACGAGTAAAACAAACTTTTATTGAAAAATTTATATATCTGTTTTTTACAAAAAATATATTACACTTTATATACATTTTCAGTAATCAGTTTTTGTAACTATTCATAAAATAAAATGATATAAAAATAAGGTTTTTGTATGTTAAATAAGAAAAGACAATTTTAAACTCTTTAACATATTAAAATAGAAAAGACAATTTTTAAAAGGTATTTTGAATATCATATAATATAAAAACCTTCAAAAAATATATATATAATATGACATGTAAATTAGTCATATTCAACAAGGAGGTTCCAGCCAGCAACCTTTCCCCTTTGTGACGCTACTGACAAGATGCAAAAATTCTATTAGTTTATCAATATATAATTCCCTCTTAAAATTATTGAATAGTCCACTAATATATAATATATAAATCAGATAGATCATCTAGAAATAATATACGTTATAATTCTATAATAAAATGATAAGAATATTTCCCTTAAATGGCGTAATAGATAAATAATAAAAATTTAAAAAAATTGAAGTATCTATCATTATTTTTAAAGTTATAATGTCAATTCTCAACAGTTTCATCATCTTTTAAATTTGGGGTCTTCAGATATTTTATTTTTTTACTCATCTTTATACTATTATATAATCATATAAAAAAATTTAAGTTTTCACTATTATTTCGAGCTATAATTGCATTGAAATTGTTTATTTTTTCTATTTTATTCAAAAATAATAAATATTAAAAAGAGATAATTTGAAAAATTGGGAATATGTGTAATATTCTTTGAATTTTTGCTTTAAATTCATCTAAATTGTATTTGTGTAAAATTATAACTAAATGGGAAATATGATAGTCAATGTGCCAACATGTCAAATATTTATATCTATCAACGGCTCGTGATTTTTCAATATCGCGAAATATGTTAAATTTAGTAGGTCACGTGAATTTTGACATAATATTGTCTCACTTTTGATAAACGACAGCATATTATATAGAATATTTCATAAGTGATTTGATAGAATATCTTATTATATATTGTCAGGTTAGAAATAAGAATATCCATTATAATGTATTATTTTTGTATTATAAATTAGATAAGATCAGAAAAAGTATTAAAATAGCAATGAAAGTAGGTCTGTTCTCATTTATTTTACAAGGAAAATGATAATTAGACATCTAAAAGAATTTGATTAGGTGAATAACTTTGATATCTTCTTCTTTTTTTTTAGATAAGTCAAATTTGTTTAAACACCAGTCAAATTTGTTCAAAATTATTGTTAATATACTTAAGATCTCTCATATAAACTAATTCTCGGTTTAACTCACATCATGCTTAAATCTATCAAGTGGTCGATAAAATAATAGATATTATAGCTTTTTTGTGTTTATCTACCGAAGATTTTGTTAGTGTTTTTAAAAAAAATATAAGAAGAAAATATAAAAAGTCAAGTATAAATTAATAAGCAGTAGACATAGACACCACCAAGCCTTTTTCTCATCATACCTCAATGAGGTTTAATAAACGAGCATAACAAAATATGTATATTCTAAGAAAATATGCATCATCAAATATATTAGATTAAGGCGTAGCTGGAGAGAGAATGGCAAAGGAAAATCCCCGAACCCTTCAGAAATAAGTCTTTTTGTGAATATCACTTTTAGCTAATAAAAAATACTCCTTAGCCCCCTCCTCATCTCCTAATCCCTGAATTTGAATGCATACATCTTAAACAATAATTTGAGAGAAAGAATGTAAAAATTAATAATTCTTTTAACTAAAACTAATGACTATAATTTATATATTTTTGTAAAAACATTTGTATATAAAAGGCTTAGATTATTTTTTGATACCATTTGTTGGTTACAATAAATTAGAAATTTGTTAGATATATTGATTTCAAATATATTTATTTTATACTTAACGGCAATAACGAAGAAAGATTTTGTTTCTTAATTAAAAAATCAGTTTATAAAATCGTTTTATTTTTATAATTTTAACACTTAAGTTAAATTTAATTTTAAACAAAGAACAATTTATTTTCGTTTTGCGTATTTAATGATTGATTATTATTTTATTATTTATTTTATCGATTAATAAAAAAAGTATATATAACATTTTTTTCTAAAATTAGATGGTATTTTTATTTTGTAAGACAAATATTTTATGATTGATATACATCTATGAACTTTTGATTACTTCTCATGTGCTTATAATTTTGGATTACTACTCATGCGCCTATCATTTTTGATTACGTCTCATGTGCTATAATTCGCTGATTAATAAAATTACTAAAAATAATCTCGAATACTTCAGCAAAATTATGTTTATAAATGTATAATTTTACATATATATTTCTTGATGTAATAAAATTATATATGTATTTTTATAATGTAATAAATTATGAATTACTTTATTCGTAAATTACATATGTTTTATAATGATTTTATATGTATGTTTATGTTTGATATATTATTGTATCTGGTTTAGATTTAGCTGTCTAACATTTATAGAGATATTATAATTATCTTTTGTTATTCTTTCCATTTTTGCATTTTGACTGTTTTACAATTAAATAATAATTGTAATTAAAAATAATAATTAGAAGAAAGATTGTAGAGGTTAGTGCAGTGTAATATCTAAAAATAAAGATACAAATTTAAATAATAATTTACCCTTAATATTTTTCTTCTTTATTGGTATATATTTCAAAAAAATGGAAAAATAAAATGATGATGGTATATATTTCAAACAAATGGAAAAACAAATGATGATAATTTTATATAATTGTCTTTATATAATTTCTAAAATTATAAGGATTAATATTAAAAACAGATGTAAACATGCGAAGTTCGTAGTATAATAATTTAATATGATATAAATTTTAAAAGAATCAATATTCAAATGTATACTAATATTATATTACTATACCATAATAATCCAAGATTTCGATAAAAATAAATATTCAAATTATTTAACTGTACAAATATAATCTTATTTAAATTTAAAACTTGTAAAAATAATTATTTTAATACAAAAAAATACAAGTTATTACAACAGACTGATGTAGCTAAAAAATCAATATAACATTTATTAAATTGGTAACCAATTTCGTATATTTTAAATAATGATATAATTATTTTTATTAAATTTAATATGTACTATAAATTAATTACTAGGTATACATAGGCTAAAGAAACTTGACCGATGACCGTGCAAAAGCTGGCCGAAGGCCCATCAAAAGAGAAAAAAACATTTTGTTTATTTTATTAAAAATGTTTATTTTACATTGCAAGATTTTTTATGGATGAAAATTAAATATGATTTTTAAAATAGATTTTAACATTTATAGGTAAAAGAATTTGATCGAAAATCTGTGTTATTTAAAAGCTTTAAAGTTTTTTGAAGTTTTTTTTCTAAATATGATAAAAATATATCATTTTTGAAAATTATCTAAATTAATAAAGGGTAAAACAAAATTTAATATAAGCATAAAGTAATTAATGGTCTAGATAAAATTAGAAGATGGATTATACTCGTCTAATGCCTTCTATATATTACAATCTATAGTTTAACTAATTCTGACAACATATAAATATTTTTGTGTTAAAAGTCATTTATAGACAATATCAGAATTATGATTATCAGTGGAATAAATAAAAAATATATATTTCAAAGATGGTGTTTTTACTTTTGATTTTGATGAGCAAGTTGCACTTCCTTTATAAAATATATAAGAGTTAAATAATTATTAATTTCAATTAAAAATAAGAATAAATTTATAAACAAGTTTGCCATTTACGAATTGTGAATTTGATTGCTATTAAAAAATATTAACAAATAAATATTATTTCATTCAAGTAAGTAAAAGAATGATGATGGGATTATACATGTATGGATATATTTCCACCAATTCCCTTTCAAAATGCATAAATGGAGACATGAAAATTTAATAAATACGCCCTTTTAACCAATATTATTTTTATTTCGCTACTACAACTTTTGAGAAATTTGGCTCTAAGCTGTTAAAGTTTTTAAATTTTGGTCGTATAATCTTACCAAAATCTGTTGATTCAAATAAATGTTTTTATTTAAAACAGCAAAATGACAATACGTAAATAATCTAGTCTGCATTCATAGATTAATGTATGCCATAAAATTATGAATTATTTTTAAAAATCCATTTGTCTTTATCTATAAATAAAAATCTTAAAATATTTCTACTGAATGGGTAATTTTTAACTATTTATTATTCACACATGCAACAACAAATAAAATTTCCACAACATTAAATATTAATTTTTGCAAAATAAATAAATAAATAACATTAAACATCTCTTTACAAAAAAAACTTATATATATATATGTTGTTTATTTTAATTCTTTCTATAAACAATACTAAAAAATAAAATACATTACATTACATAATTTTGTCCTTCAAAACCACGAAATGATATATAAACTTCCACCCTATATAACAAAATTAATCCTTGAAACTATATAAACAAAATTAAATTAACCCAAGACAATCGAAAATAATTTAAAAAAACAAACTTATTTATATGCAATATATTTCTGATTTATTCGCATCATTTAAAAAATATTTACATTGTTAAACATCCCGGTTTGAGTCGATTTTTAAAAACCCTGATTAATAGCCAAAATAATATTATGTAGGCATCGATTACACAAATAGACGTCCAAAACTTTCTGACACATATGAGCAAAAACCTATAGGTTTAAATGGTATTATTTTGTCTGTAATCTTAATCGAACCTATAATAAAAATCGTCCCGATTTGGGTCGTTTGACACTCATCACTAGGTACATAAGTAACACAAGTGAAAAATTATTGGCAATGCCCAAACTTTATTTTGCATTGCCATATATCTCTTAGTTATTACTATATTTTTCTTAAGGAATATATTCGGTATTTATCATTAAACCGGTAAGAGTATAGCACATTATTTTTCCTCTATATTCGACCTAATGCCTTAAAAAGAGCTATACCATATGATATGTTTTGCAATTACACGATAATATTATTATTGATTCAATCTTATATAAAATTGTGTTTAAGCTTTCTTGAACCTGGCATATGGTCATACGATATAGTCAAAGTTATGTAGATATTGATATAAAAATTCAATTTGTAATAAAATTTTAGAATGAACAGTATATAGCAATATCAAAGATATTGTATAAAGATTCTACCTTATATGCTACAGGTGTTTATTTATGAAGAATTATGGTATAATTTTTTTTAGTGCTTTGTCATAATGTTTCATTCAAAATGAAAGTAAGTTGGGTTTTAAGACTTAGCCCATGTGGTGATGAATACTCTTATATTGCTGATAAAGTTGATTGATTATATATTACCTAGTTTAATATTTTTTTTATTAGAATGATTTAATTGGTACTTATTTTATTTCTCCACAATCTAAACCACTTCAATTTTCTTATCGTACAATTGAATTTCAATTATCTAAGAATTATAATCAAGATCCTATATTACCTTTTACATTGTGTGAGAATGGATATTTTCATTTTGAAGTTAATTAAGCAAAATTTTTAAGTAATTTTATACATAATATTAAATAGGATGAATCATATATGAAACATGAAGTATTTGGGGTTGAAGTAAGTAAAAATAATTAGAATATATCACTTTCACCTCCCTTATTATTTTTAACAGGAGAATAAAAATATAGGCTCCCAAATTATTACATCTTACAAAAATGCTTTAAATAATTATAGAGTTAATTATGGTCAAACTAAAATTGTAGATGATCCTATATCTTTTAATAGATATAATACAACTTCTCATACTCCTGTTGATTACAATAGCAAAAATATTGATATTAAGAATGACCAAGATGTTGAGGCTATAGATATTTTACCAAAAGCAAGTACCAAAAAAATTTCTATTCTTGTTCAAGAGGTTAGAAATTTGATTATTTTATATAAATGATTTAAACAATATTATAAATATGCTTAATCATGGTATTAATATATGTGAATAGATTGGTAATAATTTATAAATTATTTTGCAAAAATATATTACATAGAATATTACAAAACCGATTCCTCCTTTAATTAATCCCAGAGCTAGGAGCAGACGGAAAAATAGTTCATTAATCCGCAAGAGAAGCCTTTTAAAATTTGGTTTAAATAAAATTTTATAATTAACCATTTTAAGGAGGTCAAACATCATGTCTGAAGGATGAACATGCCTTTATCTATTCAAATTATGGCATCATGCACATGAGCCCTTATTAAAAATAAAGAATGCCCATCATTTTTCAAATAAAGAAATAGTTAAAAATAACTCAACAGAAAGGTGCAATGGAATAAAACCATAGTTAAGGTTAAGCAAATTTATGAAAAATATTCTAATATATATAAATACTTTCAAAATAAAATAACTGAATATAAATACAAATACCTTTAAAATAAAATAACGAATAAATACAAATATGTTTAAAATATGTATTTTAAATATTAATACTAAAAGATTTTTAAAATTGCATTTAATTTCAAATATTTTGACAATACATTTTGCAATTCTAATTTTATACTACCACTCAATTTTTTTTATTATTACTTAAAGGATACATATTAGGGATGTGCTGATATTAAATATAGGAGCAGGACCTATCTTTGTTTATAGATATAGTAGCTAAAAATTTGATATTATTAACAAGAAAGTGATTTTAACATGTCTAACAAGTCTCAACCACTCTATAGAGATGATTTTTAAAATGGCTAACTGAAGATCTTAGCCAAAAATAAATTACCTAAATTTTGTGATTACAAAAAGTCCTGGACATATATTTTGAGTTTTAGATATTTTACTTATTTAATCTAAAATCTTGATTTAGCCCTAAATATCGGCCAAATTGAACCGTTTAACAACATTACATTCACTTATAAACATTGCAAATATTTTAAAATTATTAATTTTTGAAGAATAAAAAAAACAAAATGCATTTGATCATTCATAAAAGTTAGTTTGTTTTTTTGAATAATGAGTATTAATTTTTTTTTATGGCATTGGTTTAAATATCGATTGCAAATAAAAACCAATACAAATATCAGATCGGTTTTTAGTAAAATTGGATTGGTGAAAAATTTACAAATCAGTACAGCCCTAATATTTATTATTAACCATTTTCAAAAATTTTGATAATTATGTAAATAATATAAACATATCGAAAATTTTCCAGTTATTATATTTTATTTGCAATAATACAACATTATAATATAAATACTATATTTATCGCAGCGACATATTACATAAATTATATTATAATTGCAGCTATCACTAATAGTTTTCTAGAATATTATGAAACTTAAATATGAGAATTGTTATTGCACATAATGAATTATATTGCAGATACAGAACCATTATTATAGCATTTTTCTTTTTCTTCTCCTTTTTATGGCGATTTTCAGGTTTACCCAGGTAAGTCAGTTTTCCTTCTGATTTCTTTTTTCCATTTTTGACGGTCCTGAGCATCAATATTTGTAAGAATCATGCTTCTGATATCCGCCGATTATAGCAAATAGTATTTAATAAAATAAAATAAAATATAGCAAACATAAAACAGAAATTCTAATAAATCACATTTGAAATGAAAAAATGGATGTGTTCCTTAATACAATATGTATGAATAAAATATCATTTAATTTATACCTATTTATTAAATTTGTAAAACTTAATAACCTTTCTACCAGAGTTGAAGCAAAATCATATAAACTATATATCTTTATGCTCATATTTGGAATAATTTAATTTTTCTAACTCTACATTGTTAGAAGCATTATTTACATTTTATAGAATTTTCAAAACTAATATAATCTTCTTCCTCAACATAAGATCTAAAAATGATAAAATATTTTTTCCTCACTACATGCTACCCATCTATAAACTTTTTATCTAAAATTGTTAAATGACTTGTAATGAATGTGAAAGTTGTTAAATGACATGGATAGGAATTTTACAGATTGTCTGCTAAATATATCTTATAAACATAATAGCGTTAACAAAAACTCATTGGAACTGGAATCTATATCTTCTTCAACTTGCTTAAATACTCATTTTAAAAATAAAAGGGAATAAAACTGATTAGATGATATTTTCGATAACTCGGATCACCGCAAATTTAATATTTAAATTAATAAATTGAGGATTTACATTTAAAATTAAATTCAATTTATATTAAAAAATTATTAAATATATTTGTATTCATCTAAAATCGTAATAAATACCAGAGACCTTTATATTTTTTAGTATTTAAAATACAAATACTAAATACTTTCGAAAATATTCAAATAATACAAATGCAACTGCCCAACCCTGGTGCCCATAAATTTTTGAAAAACTTCAAAATAGTAAAACTAGGTGTGTTCTTCTCTTACCATATTTAGACTCACGAAATTCACAATAACTTATTAACTGTATTGGTGTATCAAATTATGAATGAATATATTAATTTATTTAATATATTGGATAAAACAACTAATAACAATTTTCTTTACAAAATTGCCAGATATTTGCAACTAATGTGAAAATAAAGTAATTTCGAGAACTAGGAGTTATTTTTTTAAATGTAATGTTATTAGTTAAATGTTGTGATGATATTGAATTCTTAAAAAAATTACCTATCATTAGAATTTAAATAATATATGCTTTAACCATACACTAATTATATGATCATTCGTTTTAATTGTTCATTAACAGTTTAATGAAAAATAAGGATGAGACGGACAGGTATGCATCCCATCTATGATTGAGCATCTTTGGACGCGTCGCGTGTCTCGCCCATGTAATCGTCCTTGAGTATGATAGGATGGATGTTTGACCTTCTCTAATAGCAATTATTTAGAATCATTTAAAAATATATCACAACGATTTTTTTTTAAAAACATGTAAGAATAAATTTTATAACACTTGCAAACGTTCTTTGAAAAGAAAAATTGAGCATAGAGAATTTTTTTTGTTTTAATCTTGTCTTCGCTTTAAATAACTTTAGAAAATCCCGAAGGTGTTATATCAAAAACATGGAAGACGGGCAATTACTTGCTGATACTAAAATTCGAGGTTGAACCGGATGATGAAAATGTTAAAATTTCTAAATACGCTACGGGTATTTTAATTTAATTTTTACGTCACCGATAAATATTGCAAATTATAAGATGATTGAAACACGAGATTACAACGTCAAAAGCAGGGATTACTTTATAACCCAAACTAATATTATATGTGTTAAGTTACGGAATAATATTTTCTAACACCCAGATCATTAAATCAGCATCATGTGTTAATTAATTAACTTTTCCGAAAATTTGAGGTTTTTTTGCTGATCCCATTAATCCATAAGGCCTAAGTTCAAGGCCTTCTATACCTTTATTTCCTTATCCAACATGTCACTTTGCACTTGATCTTTCTAACATAAGCTAGGTCCTTCTTCCATGTCTTCTGAGTTCAAATTTGCTGGCGTCTTTTCCTAAACTTTGGGCCTATATCTCAATCGATCCCTGTTTTATCTGTCAATGGCTAATTTGGTATGAAATATTACGAGTCGTCCTTAGAGAACTGCACGGGCTGTCCGTAGCCCGACCCGACCCGAAAATAAATAATAATATTAATATCTTAAATAGTCAGTATAATTTATAATATTAATTATAAAATCATATTATTTAATATTTATCACATTTTAGGATTAATATGTCAATCATATTAACATGTCATGTCATTATTAATTATTATTTTATAAACCTAACAACCACCAAACTATTTTATCACTAAATTGTGTGTTTCTCGTGAATTACAAGATAAGACATATTTTATGTACTAAAGATAAGTTTTATTCATTATTTATTATTTATCTAGCCTATACATTGTCTTTTTTAATATTTGTTTTAAAAAATTTCCATATAAAATTTAAGATTGGGATTTGATTCAGGGGAACTTATTTCTATAATTTAAATTTCACTACCATAAATGTTAATCATCCTAGAAATTAAAAAATATTATATAAAATTGGTAATGATATTCTAAGTTACATTTATATATAAAATATAATCTTTACTTATTTCGTTTTGGTATTATTATTTTTTTATCTATCTACCTTAATATGAGTTGTAAATTTTCCAGCTAATTTTAGTTGTCAATATTTTAAAATATGGCAGAAAAAAATTAGGAAATTAATACAAGATTCTCAAAGAAAATAAGATGTATACTGTGACATGTAAAATTTAAAAGATGAATATTAAAAAGAATCTGTATCAGATTCTTTTCAAAATTAAGGATCTTAGATACAGATATAGTAGTAGTGCCCAACTCTGTTTATTTCAATCTAATTGATTAAAGTCATTTTAAATATTTTTTTTAGATTTTAGACACAGCCATATTAAAAAAATTATCTCAATGGATGCAAAATTAAAAAGAACTGGTGAAAAGATTAAGACAAAAGAGTATAAAGTAAGGGAGAATCTTAATGGAAAATCCGATGTATGGAAGAAATTTTCATTTATATATGATGAAAATAAAGAAAAGCTTAATTATGTCATTTGTATTAAATGCAAATTTATTTATGTATATAATTCAATAACAACAGGTTAGATATTTATACATAAAATATGATCTTATTAAATTATTTTAGGCACAAATCAACTTAAAAGACATAAATATGTATATAAAAATACAAGTACAACAGCAGAGAGTAAAAAGACACAATTAACAATTGATAGTCTTTTTGGTACTGATCCGAAAAAACTCAAAAATTGTACAAAATTGAAAAAAGAGTGCACAAAGGTGCTTACTATGTTTTGTGGACGTGATTTGAGACCATTTGATACAATTCACGGGGAAGGCTTTGTTGATTGTTGCCAATATTTTGCCAAAATTGGTTCAATATATGGAAATATTGATGTTTTAAACATCATTCCAAATCCTACGACAATTTCTAGAAATTTAGTAGATACTGCTGATGGTATCCGCAATAAATTATTTCCTATATTAAACTCATATATAAAAAAGGGTCGATGTGCTGGTAACAAATTTATGAAAATATGGTTAAATTATTAATAATTTTTTATAGCCCCCACAGACCTTTGGACTGATGATTATAAAAAAATATCATATGTAACTAACAATTCATTTTATAAATGATTTCTGGAAACTAAATAAAATTGTATTGTTTACATGCAAATTTGAAGATGAAAAAAAGACAGGGGAAAATATCAAAAAGGAAATTATTAGAAATTTCACCTTGTTAGGTATTGATTTCATTAAAAATATTTATAAAAATCCATGTATTCTTTGTATCAGGATACAGCAGGGCCTATTTATCGGAAATTCCAATTATTACCGACCAAGGAGCTAATATGATTAAAGCTTTTGAAAATCATAAGCGTTTAAATTGTGCTTCTCCATCTATTAAATACAGTATTGAGAAATACTTTTGATAACAAAAATATTGAATCTTGTTCGGAGATAAATCAATGTTTTAATGACTGTAAAAGTTTAGTAACGTATATGAAACAGAGTGGGTAAATTAACTTTTTATTAAAATATATCATTACATTTTAGATTAGTTAATCGCCTCGATAAAACTCTCCACATGTGTGTTGAGACTAGGTGGAATAGTAGGTTGAATATGATTGAATCGATCTTTAATCAATTTAATGACATATTGGAAATCCTCAATTCAGGAGGAGAGTCGATTAGACTTGAAAATATTGATTTTGAAATGATGAGGGATCTGATCAAGTTTCTGACGCCCTTTAAAAAATGGCGAGTGATGAACTTGAGAGTGATTTAAAACCTACTATTCACAAAGTTATTTTATGTTATCATAAAATATTGAGTTTTTTAGCTAATCCTAGCTTAAGCTATCAGCTAAACCAGCTTTCATTAAGATGCCGGGAAATATTAATGGATAAATTTAATTCCACCAAATTTCGACGTTTTTTTGCCCAAAATTTCGGGATATGAAAATGTTATCCCGGGAACATTATAAAGATTTGTGTCAACATATCAACACGTTGATTAATGCAGAGAAAATCAACAGAGATGGGATTGAGCAAAAGTCTTTAAACAACTCACCACACCATCTAACTCGTGCTCAACCGATAGAGTAGTAAATAAAGGTTTATTAAATTAATAATAAAATTATTTATTAAAAAATAATAAAGTAAATATATATCTTAATTAGTGTTGTTAATTAGTCGAGTTCTTTCGACTACGACTAATAGTCGTAGTCATGGAAATCGACTAAAAACTTTAGCGACTAAATTAGTCTATTAGTCGACTAATTTGGTCGACTAATTTAGTCGACTAAAACGACTAATTAGTCGACTAAAACGACTAATATAGTCGACTAAAACGACTAACATAGTCGACTAAAACGACTAATATAGTCGACTAAAACGACTAACATAGTCGACTAAAACGACTAATATAGTCGACTAAAACGACTAACATAGTCGACTAAAACGACTAATATAGTCGACTAAAACAACTAATTTAGTCGACTAAAACGACTAATTTAGTCGACTAAGTTGATTTTTTAGTTAGCAGCATATATAGGTAAAGGTAAAAATATATATCGTAAACATATTAAGTTAAAATTTCAGTGAAGATGTACCATACAAAAGTGACAATTGTCATAATCGTTATTTTTGAACTTTTTTGAATTTTTTCAAAGCATATAGGTAAAAATATATATTGTAAAGATGTTAAAATAAAATTTTAGTGAAGATGTACCATAGAAAAGTGACAATTGTCATAATCGTTATTTGTGAACTTTTTTAAAACAAATAGGTAAAAATATATATTGTGAAGATGTTAAAATAAAATTTCAGTGAAGATGTACCATAGAAAGGTGACAATTGTCATAATCGTTATTTTTGAACTTTTTTGAATTTTTTCAAAGTAAATAGGTAAAAATATATATTGTAAAGATGTTGAAATATAATTTCAGTGAAGATGTATCATAGAAAAGTGACAATTGTCATAATCGTTATTTGTGAACTTTTTTGAATATTTTTAAAACAAATAGGTAAAAATATATATTTTAAAGATGTTAAAATAAAATTTCAGTGAAGATGTACCATAGAAAGGTGACAATTGTCATAATCGTTATTTTTGAACTTTTTCAAAGTAAATAGGTAAAAATATATATTGTAAAGGTGTAAAAATGAAATTTCAGTGAAGATGTACCATAGAAAAGTGACAATTGTCATAATCGTTATTTGTGAACTTTTTTGAATTTTTTTAAAACAAATAGGTAAAAATATATATTGTAAAGATGTTGAAATATAATTTCAGTGAAGATGTATCATAGAAAAGTGACAATTGTCATAATCGTTATTTGTGAACTTTTTTGAATTTTTTTAAAACAAATAGGTAAAAATATATATTGTAAAGATGTAAAAATGAAACATAAATGAATATGTACCATAGGAATGATAATTTTCATAATCGTTATATAAAATATTTATCGAATTTTTAAAAGTGCTAACGGATCTTTGAAAAATTTAACACAAGGAAGGCTAACAAACTTTTAACGTTTATTTTTCATTTAAAATTCATTAGATAAACATTAAAAAATATATGCTTATAAAAAAAATTTTAAATACCAGATTATCGATAACTGTTTCGGATGTTATCGTCGTAAAAATTAATGAGTTAATAAAAATACTTGTAGGATTTGATTGCAATTATCGGGTCGAAGCATTTCGTCCTATGATTGATAAAATTATAAACATCAGAACTGTTTTTTTCGGCGAAAAGAGAACTTATTTTGGATGTGTAATATTTACTTCCTACATTTTGATGAAAAAAAATAGTAAAGGTATTTCTGAAAAGGCCTTGGAAAAACTTACACAATTGGCAATATCATCATTTAAATCGGAAATTTTTTTATGCTTACTAAATTATGAAATTTTTAGTAAGGGTGAAACTAAATAATTTATTTTTTATTAGATGCGTAAAAAATTTGAAGAATGGGCATGTTTAAATTTATATGGGGGGCGAGCGTGGTTTAAATTTTTTTATATGGGCAGGGCAAGACGAAAAGTTTAAAAATTATTTAAATTTTTATTTCACATTTTTTTACCCATGATTAAATATCGCTTCAAT